CTAAGCAATCATTAGATAGTATCGATCAGCGTCAATATCCTGGAAGCTTGCATCGCCATCAGCGAGGAGCGGAACGTATTCGCGCTCAATTCAGGAGCATGCTGGATGTTGAAGAAGCTCCGAGTTTGGAACAAATTTCCATGGACCACCATGAGTCAATGGAGTTATGGGTTGTAGAGAAGCTTCAAGAGGCTTCTAAGAATTATAGCACTACTTCAAATGACTGGGCTGACATTTTACCTCTCTACACAGCTACTAACGGAGCCCCAATGGCCCCTACCCGGTCTTCTCCAATTCCTAATGGAGCACCATCATCCCCATTAGAAATTCCCATGACCGTCAGCTCGACAGATCCAAAGATCGCAGCTCAACAAGCAAGCGACATGAAGAACATTGTTCGAAGAAAGTTGACTGGATATGTTGGATTTGCAAATTTACCAAATCAATGGCACCGCAAGAGTGTCAGAAAGGGTTTCAACTTCAATGTTATGGTTGTTGGTATGTGTGCAGCTTCTTTGGATCACTACTTGGTTTATGCTAACCCCTGACTAGGTGAGTCTGGACTCGGAAAGTCGACTTTGGTCAACACTCTTTTCAACACTTCCTTATATCCACCAAGAGAACGCAAAGGACCTTCCCTCGATATTATCCCAAAAACCGTTTCTATCCAATCTATTAGCGCTGATATTGAGGAGAATGGTGTTCGTTTACGTTTGACTGTCGTTGATACCCCAGGTTTTGGTGATTTCGTCAACAATGATGAGTCTTGGCGACCAATTGTTGATAACATTGAACAACGTTTCGATGCTTATTTGGATGCTGAGAACAAGGTCAACAGAATGAACATTGTTGATAACCGTGTTCATGCTTGTGTATACTTCATTCAACCAACTGGCCATGCGTTGAAGCCTTTGGACATTGAAGTCATGCGTAGACTTCATACCAAGGTCAACTTGATCCCAGTTATTGCTAAGGCCGATACATTGACTGATGAAGAAATTGCTGCGTTCAAGTTCAGAGTAAGGGTTCAGATTGCATATTTCAAAACTCGCGCTAATTATGCTCTAGATCCTTGCTGACATCAAGCACCACGATATCCAAATCTTCGAGGGTCCACATTACGAGAAAGATGACGAGGAGACAATTGCTGAGAACAAGGAGATTATGGACAAAGTACCTTTCGCAGTTGTTGGTGCCAATTCCGAGATTACAAACAGCGAGGGACGTAAAGTTCGCGGACGTAAATATCCATGGGGTACCATTGAAGTTGACAATGAGGAGCACTGCGATTTCGTCAAGCTTAGACAAATGCTTATCCGAACCCACATGGAGGAGCTCAAGGAACACACCAACAATGCTTTGTACGAGAACTACAGATCGGAGAAGCTTACTGCTATGGGTGTTACTCAAGATCCAAATGTTTTCAAGGAGGTCAACCCAGCTGTCAAGCAAGAAGAAGAGCGTCAACTACACGAGCAAAAGCTTGCCAAGATGGAGGCCGAGATGAAGATGGTGTTCCAACAAAAGGTCGCAGAGAAGGAGAGCAAGCTGAAGCAAAGCGAAGAAGAGTTGTACGCACGACATCGCGAGATGAAGGAACAACTCGAGCGTCAACGTCAAGAATTGGAGGAGAAGAAATCCAGAGTCGAGAGTGGAAGACCAATAGAAAAGGAAGGCAAGAGGAAGGGATTCTCACTCCGCTAAGGGGTAAACTTCTCTCAATATCCAGGGCCTGCCTTTTAATGATGGTACCGACACGACACAACCGATACTTTACTTTTCAATTCATGTCTCTTTAATCATTGATCCTTAATATTTGGCGGTTGAAGAAGCAAGCGATGGGGTGAAGGGTGATATTTCGGGCGCGGCATTGCTTCTGCGAGGCAAAGGTCATAAATGCCATAATGGTGGTCTTGCATTCAAGAATGAGTGGTATTTCGAGGAGTTTTATTTTTGCACATGAGAATGGCCGAAAGGGAAGAGGATATAAATGCAAGACACAAGACGAAAGACCATCATGCTTACAGAGAGATTGGTTTCTACTATAAGTCCTTTATTTTCATATGGCTTCAGATAAAAGTCTACCCGCGTTTCTTCATCCAAAAACTTTCTGGGGGGTGGATCAATACTCTGTATTTATTATGATAGCTCGAGACTTCTTTAGTTGTTTTTTCCTTTTTTTATTTTGACTTTACTTTGATCTGTTCTCTTTTGCGCGTGGTTTTCTATTTCTTTTTTTTATCTTGAACTTATTTGAGTAGGGCAAGGGAAGGCCTAATCTCATTTAAGTACGTACGTAACTACCTACCTACCTACCTAACTTTTGCTTTGTAATGGAATGGAATGGAATGAATAATTAAAATGAAGATGAATTGAATTGAGATGTGTTTGTGTGTCTTTGTTATATATACACGGGGAGAATTGAGTTTTGATATGTATCATGTGTGTTGTATACTATGAACTGTGTCTGTACTGTGTGTATACTATGTGCTGTGAGAAAAACGAGATAGGTATGATTGATTGCTAACTCTAGAGGCTAGAGGAAAGAAAGAAATGATTGATTGATTGATTGAGAACGAAGGTAGGTAGGGAGATTAGATTGATGGGTTGATGGGTTAGGGGTTGAAGTTAAGGTAAAGGTATTGTTTAGCGATTGAAGTGGCGGTGGTTGGTTACTTGATATGTATGTGGTAGAGAGTTGGATTAGATTGGATTGGGGATTTTGGGTGGTGGGATTGTGGTGAGATTGGAGGGGCGTGGGGTTTTGGGGAGGGGAGGGAGAGAGGAGAGAAGGGAGAGAGGGAGAAGAGGGAGAGAGGGAGAGAGGGGTTGATGAGGAGAATTCGAGGCGAGTGTTTCTTGTTGTGTATACGTGATTTGTGATTGAAGTATGGGATGTATGGGTATGCTTTGGGTTGTGAGGTGTGTTGTGTATTGTAGCTGGTGGTATCGTGGAAGCATTGCAAGATAGGCGATTTGGAAGAGACCGAGTTAGATGAAGTTGGATGAGTTGGATGAGTTGATTAGGTGGGGATGAGTTTGGATTGAGTATTGGATGAGTTGGGATGAGTTGGATGAAGGGGAGGGTGGGAATGGAAAGGGAAAGGGAAGGGGAAGAGTGGTATTTAGGGGTTTTGGTACTATCGGGTTTGTGTATGGTGACTGAGGCTGGGGTGTGATGGAGAGGAGGAGGTACTTGTGTGGGAGGCAGGGGCACTGAGGTGAGACAGTGTGGAGATATATAGAGAGAGATTGAAGACGTGGTTCGAGTTTTGTGTTTGCTTGGTTTCGGCTCAGTTGGGATGTTGTAGGGCTGGAAAGAGTGAATGAGGAATTTGGATGAGGGTGAGGGTGAGGGTGAGGTTGCTTGGATGTAGAGGTGGGATCTGCGAGGGAGTGATAATACTGTCGACAAGTGGTGGTCATGATTTATAGACTAGGGATTTTGATTTTAGTGAATGAGGTTGGTGATACTCGTTGGCTGTATTCTGTTGGTTGTGTGCAGAGGTAAGTTACGAGAGAGAGAAAGAGGAGAAAGAAGGACATCAAACGATGATTATAGCTATGTTGCTAATGAGATGAGGGAGATGGATTGGAAGATGTTGATTTTGGAGCCATGCTAAAGCTAATTCTAATCCTGATGCATGGGTTAATTAATCTTCTGTATCTCCGTCGTCTAAATTAAGGTATGGAAGTAGAAAAGGTAGTGAGGAGAGAATTTGAGAGGAACAGTCGTTGAAGAAGTTCTTTTGAAGTTTGGGGGTGCAATGTAAAGTATGTTGATGGCGAAGAAAATCGAGATTTAGGTTGACGTTAAAATCGAGATTGAGGCTGGAATTGAGAAAGAGATTTTGATCTGGGAGAGTAGAGTTCGAGTTAGATAGGTAGAGTATGAGTCGATATTTGAGGGAGGTCGCTAACAGATCCAGTTTTGCGCGTTGAGGAAGTATGTATTAAATGAGAATGAGGGAAGATCTTGAAAGCAACGGCGGCATATATGAGAGACTTCGTTGAGGATAAAGCGAAAAATGAATCTTGAGCATTGTTTGATCACTTTGAGAATTTTACAAATTTGTTTCAAATTGTCACTTTTCTAGACGTGCAACGAAATAGTTTGTTGGGTTGGTTTGAGATGGTAAGGTGCGAAGATTGAGGGGGGCAACCGGGTGGGGATGATGGAAGGTGCTGTGGTGGGAAGTTTTGAGGAAGGGAATTTCAGAGACCGTGCGATCCATTTACATAATGTCTTTTGGTGTGGTTCTCGCAATACTTGTTTATACTGCATTTGGTGACTTATCTTGTACAAGGCAGTCTATAGTGGAAAGGTAAGAGTATCTGGTAAGTAGTGGTTAGAAGATGCTCGGGACCCAAAGAAGTTTTGCACTGGGCAGATAGATTCGAAGACTATCTAATAAGCTTGCTCTCGACTGAAGAGAAGAAATGCATATGCATGCAGTCGATTCATATTCTGTCTACCTGGTTGAGTTCCACGTACGAGGTAGGTTGATAAGCGACGCAAATGGTGATCAAACCCAAAGACTATCTTAATAGATGAGTTTGATATGGACTAAGAAGAATGATCCTCACGAAGACCAACGAGCGTGCACAAGGGACGGGCTCGAAGTAAACGTTTGTGGGTTCATCTGTATACATATACATCATGTAGTTGCTGGTATTGTGACAAGTTCGGTGCACCTGGAGAGGAACATGAACATCATTCAGCATATCGAAGCTCACGCCTTATTTATCACCCCTTTGGACGTGCAAAATGGTTTATTGGTATGTAATTGCTCTAGAAGTAACCTAGGTAAAGTAAATACTGATATCTGCCTGAAAACAATCGCAAAAGAACACCCATACAATGATCAGATATTCCTGGCTCCGGATCTCTCGCTCCCATTTCCCCATTCCCCCATTATCCCACAAACCAGATCAATCTCATCATAGCTCCAACCCGCAGGATTATGCTCTTTCTTTGCAAATCTCAGAGACAGAAGGGTTCAGAGGGCTTTGTGAGGGCACTCTTCTTTATCGCCGTGGTAATGGTAAACACAAACTGGAGCATCCCGAGGGTCAGAAAGCTTTCCACGTGAAGATCGAATCTTGCTGCCTTCAAGCAATTGAATCAGCTTAACGAGAGTTTTTTTATTGTTGGATGAAAGGTCACAGTTCAAAGTTGCCTTCTTTTTCTTCCCGTTTCTTGAAGTATCGATTTCTTGGATGATGAAAGCAACGAGATCAATGAAGAAGGCACGTGTCTTTGAATTTGGCGTGGTACGTTCGTGACAATTGTAAGCATGGGAAACATCTAGTGGCAAATTGTCCTCCTTGCATGAGCTGATAAGTACTTCAAGGATGTCATCTTGAAACTCATGGAGAGCGTACTGTTCTGCAAAGAAAAGAATCTCCATGATGATATCAATAGTTTGAACTCTCTCTTGGCGTGTGCAAACTCTCTCCTTGAACATATGATGAGTATTCATGGATCTATGGGCGCAATCGTTAATCCACTGGACAAACATTGCCAAAACAGTGAGATCGTAGTCGGGAAGGATTGCTGCGGGATATGCACTGTTGTCCTGGAACGAATCCTTGCCAAATACAATGTCAAGTAGTGGTTTTGCTTGCCCATGAACCCAATCCTTTTCGAGTATCAAATGTGTATTGCTCGTCGTCTTAATTGCATAATGATCCTTGAAAGGGGCTATGCTCGGAAAGCTAAAATTGGTGTTAGCTAAATTCACTCTTCATATGGATCCTCTACATACTCGGAAAATATGAGGCCAACTGTCACACTAGCAGCTCCTGATTCTTTCTCTTGGACACCTTTCGAAGTAGCCAGCCTATTCGGAAGAGATTGGGATGAGCCATTGGCATTGAAACCAGCGAAACAATTGCTCTTACTAGAACCGCTTCGACTCTTTGGAAATAAGCGTAGAGCTAGTCGGCTAAAACAGAATTTGGGAGCGACTACAGGACCTGGAGTTGCTTTTTCATCCGTAAAACTACTGGCTGAGCTAAATGAATCCTTTTCGATATCCTTTTTGATATCCTTTTCGAAATCCATGTTTGCGATGCTTATTTTGATAGAGAAATGAAAGTGTTTATGCCTGTTTGAAAGAAAATTGTAGTTGGAAGCTTGTGAGATTGTTGAATTTCTAGCAGGTAAGAACTTGATTATGGGAATTGTAAAAAGATCAAGAAACGTTGAGGTGTCTGAAAGCTTTTAACTACAGATTTCAGATACAGCCGAAGCTAAGCTTTTCGAGCGCCGTATGAATTCACCACCGTGTTTTGATCCGTTTGGAAATGAACGTATACCGAATCGTTCCATTCTATTGACTGGTGGTAAAGAATCGCGTGGAAATGAATATTGAATAATCTAGGTTGCAGTAAACGAGACTATTCACTTCTCAAAATCATAAATAGCTTCTGCGGCGTAAATGCTAGCCACTCCACGGTGTCTCGATACATGATTTGACAGGTCAAACAAATATCGACGATGATCAGATTAGGTGCAACATTGCTTCCCTTCAGACTGTGTATCGTGTGGAGAGTTGAGGACTACTGCCGTCTTTCGTTCTCTCAGATTCACTAATATACAATGTGAAGGAGTTCACATTACTGAAGAATAAACGCCTAGTAGTTCTTGATTTGACCAATTTTCGGCTGGTGGAAGTGATTTTAGTGGTAGAATGATAAAATTAATCACAGTTAGACATGGGAATCTTATTGTATACTTGTTAGTATTCGAGGTATTGCTTTCAGGGATCAAGTTCACAAGAACAATAACTCATAAAGAGTTATTGGATAAAACTCTCTCGTGGCGCTCATACTTTCCACACTTAAACCCTATTTTCTAGGAAAATCGTATGAGTCTGAATTTCCGCATTTTCACACCTCTTTCCACCAATGCTTATGGGAGCATCCTAGAATCAAAATCCATCGTCTCGCCCGTCACGATACTTTTGAAATAAAATTTGCCTATAAGATCATACACCATCATCTCTATTAACTTCTGCCCATTCATGGAGTAGAGGTGGGAGATGTGGGTCATCAAGTGTTTTCTCGTTCGATTTGACAAAGCGAATTGAGTACCCTGAATCCTTCCTTTGGTATAGAACCAAGTAGAGTTATTCCATCCATGATCTAATGGATGAAGCTTGTCCTGTCAGCTCTTATTAGGAGGTGTCGTGCTGGTTGAACACAACTTACCTTCCTCAACTCCAAGTGATCCTATTCCCAGATATACCTCTTCGGTTGTTATAAACGCCGTGGGATCAAAGCTCAATCCATAGACATAACTTAGTATCGCATTTTGACTTTTGGTATCTTTATCAACAGCTTTCAGATAGCTTCCACGGAGCTCCCAGGAAGGTGGAATACGAAGTCCGGGATATCTTTCTTTAGTACGCCCTTGATAAATAGTTTCGATGAAAGCATCGATCAAAGAGCTGCCTGTGATATATTCTCTGGAGTTGAGACCTTCAGGTTCCCATCTATGAATTGCCTGGAAAATTTCCCTTGCATCACCTGAACATTTAGTTTTAACTGAAGTCACCCTTGTGGAAAAAATACCGGTGACTTCCAAAGTGTTTGGCGCTTGATACAGTGTTACAGCAGAATAAGAGCATGCAGAATGGCTTCCCAGGACAATACATATCATGATACTCTTATCTTCGAAAGACCAAATTGGAACCCATGATGGTCCGTCTTGAAATCTTTGGATCAACTGAAAGTGCTGGAGTAGATGTAGCCGCTTTGTAACAGTGACATGACTGAGCACCGCACTCTTATACACCTTTGCCACAGGAATATAATAGTTGCACGTAATATCACCGGCAATTGAAGTCAAAACTAAGCCTAGTACTCGATATATCTTATCACGGGGGACACTATAGTTGCGATGCTTAGCCCATCTAAAAAGTCCCGGCATTTATTTCATGGGACCTGGCAAGACTCCAAGAGAGTATGACAATAATTGAGAACATATGTCGCTTGGTGTCGTAACCTTTCCTCCGAGCGCCAACGTTGCTTTTCTGAGAGCAGTGAAAGGAACAGAGGTATTACACACTATACTGATGATCCCTGACCACCAAGTAAAGTTTCATGTAGAGCCCTGACTCGACTAAACCATGGTCTCCGGAAGAAAGCTCTTACTGATGACCATGTTTTAGTGTCATATGGCAGATGAAAGTTTGAGTGTCTCCATTCCAGTAACTTGGTTCGATGGACGTATGCAACTCACCTCCTCCTATGTACTCGACCTGTTCAGCGAATGACTCAATAGTAGCTAAAGAGCTTACACTATCGTCGGATTTTTCGCCAAGCCAGATGATGGTTCGATCCGCGAAGGAGAAGATATTTCTCATGCGTCCGATTTCGTGACTTCGCTCGGGAACATCATTTTGATTGACACAGATAGAGTCTACCCATAATATTCGCTGCTTAACCGTGTACCTTAATTGTCTAAGTGTAACGGCAAGAGAAGCCCTAATTTGTATCGTCGAAAAATTTTCATCCAACACATATGTTGTGATTGGATTTTCGGTAGACCCCCAGATTAATGAAAGAGCTTCATATTTAGGTTTACTTTCTAAAAAAAATCGTGTTTTGGTAAATCATAAAGAGCACGATCACAATTTGGATCTGGATGGTCTCACGAATTTGGATTTCCGTTACAGTGTTTGAACATGTATCGTCCATCGCTTGTTTTCATGGCATACATGCCACTTGGAAGAGTTCTTTGTAGTTGTTCCAGTGAGAGTCTCTTGATTTCGCCAGTCTCTGTTGGTGGAATGACTAGAGGTACGTGAAAAATGCGGATGGAGATGTCGTCATCTCGTGCGACTGGCGTTAGATACAACAGTCTAATCTCTTCATTTTCTCTTCCTAGCTGAGTATAGTTGTAAGGAGCCATTCTCATTTCACTTAGAAGGAAAATCTTGTTTACGTGGTCAAATGAGGCTGAAGATGAGGTAGAGTCGGAATGTGCACTCCGGGGAGACCCAAAGCGCCGCAACGAGGGCAAAAAATCTCAAGAAATTGTTTCAAAATGTTTCGTTGATATTTAGAACATACATATATCAAGTTCAAAGCAATCTGCCTTTAATTGTGTGATTTCATCTCAATCAAGCTGATATGAGTTCTATTCATAAAGTTCTTGAATTTAGCTGACTTCTAAGTAGAAAATCAGTGCCACAATCAAGCCAAATCGGGTTCAACTGATGTGGCTGCCTGATTTCTAGAAGACCAGGAAATAATTTCACAGCCCCACTCCCCTTATTGACCTTCTTCGCTAGTCACAACCGAAAGCTTGGGAGTGAGTCCCTATCAAGATCACACGTATAAAACAACACGCTTCTTTCTCTCAAGAATATCATATAAGATTAAGTTCCATTGCATCAAGAAATAGAATCTCGTACCAGCAGTTATTTAAATAGTCACAACTATTTCCGGTACCCACAATGAACAAGAGAATTTCGGAATGACATCCATCAAAAAGCCATACAAGCTTAAGGTTTCTGAATCGACATTCTTTCTCTCCATAGTGGCTTCCTGTGCAATACATAGTCTTTACTTCGTATAGCAGACCTGATCCCCACCAATCCAGCTACCGGCTATATTTTCAATATCCACTCATACCAAGATAACTTCGCCCCCGAGAACTTTGACATCTCTATCTTTGCTTTGTCGTAAAATTTAGGCGAATGAGCTGCTTTCTCCAGCAGATCCCGCACAGCCCCCGCCGACAGTGATATCAGGGAATTCCATCACTACTGGCAATATGAGACCATGATTTAAAGTCGCCTCAATAAGCTTATCCATCGGAACGTTCGGTTCAAAAAGTGCTGTACGAGCTATCGGGTCAATTTCAAGAATATTTTTGAGGCTGCTGATACTAACAAGGCGATTTTGATGATTTGGTCTCGTGCTGTTTGTCGATCCGTGGTATACTCTGAACGATTCTTTTCGAATAAAGAGTGCTCGAACTGAGGCTGCGAAAGCCTTCACTGCTTTTTCATAATGATCCGTTCTGTGAATATCATATTGGTTGTAGTTATTGAAAATTTTGTGAGTAGTTTCCAAAAATTAAGAAGGAGGTTAACATTCCCACTCCGAGCGGGGGTTGATATGCAAGTAACACCAGTATGAAGGTTCACTTGCGGCTATAAAATCATGCAGAGACTGTGACGTATTTCAATGATTGGCTTGTTTGTTGTAACGAGTCGTTATAAGACCGCGGCTGGATATGCAGGAACACCTTGCCGTATCGGTAATGACATGCATGCGTCTTGTGCTATTCTTCCCTTCTATTTTAGGTAAATAGCTCTAGAATGAATCAAATACAGAATTTTAGTAAATGGATGAAATTATTTCTAGTAAATTTAGGGTAAGTATTTGATTGGTAAAAATCCTGGGATCCGAGATACTTGTTTGATGCTTGGCTGCGAGTCAAGCGTTGATTTTCATCTTGTCGGTAACTTTAGCGAATAATACGCCAATAAAGAATGTATAGATCAATATGAAGTTGCAATGAGCTTACAGTCTATGATTTTGAACTCAATAAAGAGGAGTGGAATGGATGAGAAATTTACTTGTGTGTAGACAACCTTGAACTCGAGAATAATGTTCAAACTCCTCATGCGTAAAAAGTTCTTTGTGATGAGTTTATGATAGACACCGTTATGAGAATCAATGTCTCGGCGTCTCTTTCGCTTTAGAGCATAAATAAAAGTGACAATGATAGATGCTATATGAACGAAACTTGAGAATAGATTTGTTTAATTGTGGAACAAATTTCTGGAGTATCAAGGAAGATTTAGTTCAACGTTATTTAATCAACTCTATAGTTCCATGCGCCAAATTTTATCTCGTAATCTTTCCCTGAATTAAGAATATCACCATCTTCAGGACCTTTTTGAGCTCTATCAATTCTGTCCTGTGTCGTTTTAAATAACAAAGGAAGAGGCATAGGAATACGGACTTCTTCAAAGGACTTTCCCGTTCTCAACATCTCTGCCAATCCCTTTGCCGCAAGCCAAATGACAGGCATACCATGGCCATTAAATCCTGCGATGATGAATTGGCCGGACTTTTGTGGAACGAGACCGATATGAGGGTTCGAATCGAAAGAGTATCCCATTACTATAAGGAAAGTTAGCATCTTTGATTTCAGGACGGTCGCGGGGCGGAGTAACTTACCACCAGTCCAAATACTCTCGATTTTAGCATCCGAGTTTTCCCATCCGCGAAAGGTGCGCTGCATAAAGTTCTCGTAGTATCTCTTTTCCATGGTCGCTTCAATCAACTTCCCATCATCCACATTATTATACCATTGATCTTTATGGGAACGAAATGTTGCTGAAGCTCCACCCACAATGATACTTCCATCAGGTCTAGGAATAAGATAATCGAGAATACCTTCTTCAGTGCGAACGATATAGGAATAGTCAATAGGAGGTATTGTAGCACCTTTCGGAACTGTAATATGGCAGCATATACCTTTGCATGGAATAATGTTCTTGGCATACTCAGGGAGAAGACCAGAAACATAGGCATTATTTGCGTGGACGACGTGCCGGGCTCGAAGAATTCCACGAGGAGTTTCGATCAAGTGATACCCATGAGCTGATTGCTTGATTGAAATGACAGGAGTGTTGGTTTGAAGGTTGACAGAGCCGGTAGCTAAGGCGGAGGCGAGGAGAGAGGTAATAAGCTTGTATGGAGACAAGGTGGCAGCAGTGTAAGTCGAACATGCTTTCACGCCTTTGACACCAGAGATCTGAGCTTAGTTAGCCAAGTAATATTTCCAACATGAGCAAGATTAAACTTACAGTTTCGGCATCTTTACCAACGGTAAATTGGACATCTTCCATGTACTTTAACTCCTGGTTCAGGCGCAACCGATCATAGATAGCCTTAGCCTCATCAGCAGCACTTTGGTTGTTCCATACATCACATGTTCTTGTCAAAGTGAAATCACAGTCAATTTTCTCGTGTAAGATGAGCTCTTTCAATGCTTGAACATGTGCAATCTCGAACTCTGCAATCTCAGCACCGGCTCTCACACCTGCTCTATTGATATATTTTGGGATGTGACCGTAAAGATCTGGTCGGAGATGTCCACCTAAAAATACTTAGTTTGTTATTGCTAAACGAAAAGAATATTTAGATTTACCGTTTCTTCCAGTGGCACCAGAACAGACAGATCTTGCATCGAGAATCATGACAGATAGCTTGGGGCAATTAGACGTAGTGTCATTCTTGACAAGATTATATGCCGTGGCTACTCCAGCATAGCCTGCACCAATGATAATGACATCAATGATTTCGTTGACTGGCAGAGTATCCGTACTTCTGTAATCATGAAGCTGATGCTTCTCAGAATGCCAGAAAGGCTCGGTGGAACCCTTGGCAGGAGTTGGGAGATTATGAGAAGTTGGTGGATTCGCCATAACGATGTTTCTTGAAGGTTAGCGGTAGACTATGGGGGTAGATGGCGCTCTGATGGAGATCAAGTCTTTGAAAGGTTTATATGAAGATATGTAGAAAGTTAACGAGTTCCAACTTTGAAGTTACGGTCAGCGGAGTAACTGTATAGGATAAGAAGATGCCTAAAATACTAGAGCGAAATAGTGCCGGTTGACGTGAGGAAATAAGTAGCAGTAGGTATTCAATCGAATCAAGAAAAGAGAGCAGAGTCGACAGATCCGGGTTTTAAAAGCTCACAGGGTGCTCAATGCAGATCTTAAAAGATTTTTTCTTAAGTATAAAACTGCAACAGCAGTGAATGATAGAAGAAACGTATCTCCGCGCCGCCGAGTTATTGCGTAGCTTTTCCCACCAAAACAACATAAACTTGATATCATTGTCCACTGTTTGCACCTAATTCTTCTATAGGAACGGAACAACAAGATGAAGCAAAATTCGAAGCAATACGAAGGTAACGGTCCTACCATATCTCGGTCTCAATTCTGGTATAGAGAGCTGTATACTTGGATAGACTAAATGACAAACGCACGACTATGTTGTTTGATGGCTTCCTCAAAAGATTTCTCGGAAAAGCTATTATGTTTGGTAAATTCATAGCCGTCAAACAAAATATGTGCTATAGTTTCACAATACCCTAATCGATTGCAGCTGTTCACATTCTCGAATTTTGGTGATGAAGCACTGATTTCAGGGGTAAAACCACCAACCCTAACCTTATCAAGTACTAGCGTATATCATAACCTTCAAACAAACCCTCAAGAACCACGATAATCTTATACAACCAGAGTACACAGGTGCACAAGAATTTGTTCTGTGAAACTTTGTGATCGCCAAGATGTCTTACACACTATGTTATTAAGCCTCTACTTGTCGTCGTTTCTTGTTATATTCTCTAGATTCAGACCCCGCAATGTTTGCTGCTTGGTCTGTAATATTCGGTCATGAAACCCCTATAGAGAAGAAAACCGTCGCTCAACAACTCGACCGTGATGTTTAATTGGTATCTGACGTGTGAAAGAAAAAAAAGGTCACGAGAACCAACTCACGATACACAAAATGATTTGAGCCTGTAGGTGCGGAGATAAGATACGGTTATCCAAGACATGTCAAATTCAAGTGGCTCTTTCCCAGTGGGAAGAGTCGGAGAGACACATGGGCAAAAACAGAAGGTACAACTTCTTATCGGAATTCTTTTACCTTGAACTTCCTCTCTTTGAATAATAGAGTCATGAAATCTCTTCATCTCACCAAACCTCTCATTTTGCATTGAAATCGTGTCCATTGTCCGGCCAAAGGTTCATATGTGTATGTCTGTTCAGTCAGACGCCTAAGAAAGTTACAATTGGTCAACATGTCTTCAAACGGCATTGCAGCAAATCGTCAAATCAACACTTCCAGCGATGAGCCATTAATTCATCCACTTAATGGAACATTACCGGAATTTCAAGATGGTGATCCGAAAGAGTTTGCTGAAGTTAAGGAATTGAGGTAACGACAAATAAGTATTCGGTTTCCACAATATTGGGCTAATCTCGTTTCGCAGGCGAGGTTTAGCTCAGAGGCATATTCAAATGATTGCTTTGGCTGGAACAATTGGGACGGTAAGACTCATAACACGTCGCAGCTGTACCTGGTGGATACTGATTTTCTAGGGTCTTTTCTTAGGTTCTGGGAAAGCTATTGCCAGAGCAGGTCCACTAGGAGCATTGTAAGTTTTCTGTCGACTTGATAATATGCGGCGCTTACTAAACCAATAGACTCGGATATACCCTTGTGGGTATACTTGTATCTGGCGTGGTTCTTTCTATAGCTGAATTGAGGTGCGTCTCCGTTCGGAGTCTCAAACTTGAAAAGATTTGCTGATATTGGCCATCACAGTGCTCTTGTTCCTTTAAGCGGAGGTATCATACGTCATGCCGAATATTTTGTCGATCCCGCTCTCTCATTCGCGAATGGTTGGAACCAGGTTTACAGCAACATCATTACGATACCTGCCGAACTCGTAGCCGCTGCCGTTTTGATTCAGTTCTGGGTACAAATCAATAATGCCGTCTGGATTATATGCTTCGGATTCCTGTTGGTCATTAGTAATCTTCTTTTCGTTCGGGTATATGGGGAGCTTGAATTCACATGTGCGATCTTGAAGATAATGCTCATTGTGGGCTTGAACATAATGGTGCGTCTGTTGATCAGCCGCAAAGGCTCTTGTTAATCCCTCACAGGCACTGATCATTACTTGTGGCGGTGGACCAAATGGTGAAACATATGGGTTCCGATATTGGCGCAATCCAGGGCCGTTCGTTGACTACCTAGGATATACTGGCGCTTTGGGGCATTTCATGGGCTTCTGGACCACTTTTTCGAATGCAGTATATGCCTATTCTGGAGTTGAAAACTTTTCACTTGCAGCTGCAGAAACGCAGTCACCTCGAAGAAATATTCCTATCGCTGCGAAAAGAATCTTCTTCCGAGTGATGTTATTTTACGGTATGAACTGATTTTTCCTAAAGTCCTGATTTTAATCGTTGATTCAATTCATAGTGCTCTCGATATTCATGATCGGTATGATTGTACCATCGAATGATAAAGAGCTTTTGCGATCGACAGGAACAGCAGCCCAGTCACCTTTCGTTATCGCAGCCAATAATGCAGGCATTAAAGTTGTTCCTTCAATCATTAATGCTGTTGTTCTGACTAGTGCCTGGAGTGCTGGTAATGCAGGTTAGTACTCCTACGACGAAAAATATCCTTGGCTGAATCATGTAGCTATGCTTGGTGGATCCAGAATGCTATATGGACTCGGTCAACATGGTCATTCACCGAAAGTCTTTCTCCAAACTAATCGCTTTGATGTACCATACATCGCCATTGGGTTCCTCAGTCTTTTCATTTGCCTTGGATTTCTAACACTTTCGAGCTCTGCAAGTGCTGTTTTCAATTGGCTTCAGGACTTTGTTGCAGTTTCTACTCTTGTCAATTGGATGATTATTTGCGGTGTATATCTAAGATTTTATTATGGGTGTAGAAAGCAAGGAATATCTCGATCAGCATTACCATGGAAAGGACCATTTCAACCATATGCTGCATGGATAGCATTGATCTCGTTCAGTGTTCTTCTCTTGACAGGCGGTTACTCCGTCTTTATCAAGGACCAGTAAGTCTTTGCCAGATTGAAAATCGATTATAATACATGAGACTATGACTAATGAGACTTTTCTTTTCAGTTGGGCTACGGAAACTTTTGTTTCATCTTACATCAACATACCCCTTATTCTCATTCTATATTTCGGTTACAAATACAGGCAGGACACTGTGATTATTCCATTGTCTGATATTCCAATTCAAAAATTTATTGATATCGCGAATGACAATCCGGAGCCAGAGGAGGATAAGGTTGTAGGATGGAAGAGGTTGAATATTTTGTGGAGCTAGGTGGGTCAATGTAACGAGGAGAGAAGGACTCGGATCTCCCGCACTTATTTGAAACGTACGCTGGGATGAGCAGGTAAATTAGCTGCTATGATTCAAGATACCGGAAACTTTTAGGGTTTCTTTTGGGCGAATTGGTCAATTATCTATGTAGCTACAACTAGAACAGTGAGAAAATTATATGTCGACTAGAGATTTAATTGCAGGTCGGGCTAGTTGAATCTCAATTTTTAAAAAAAGATTAGTTAATCAAATATTTCAGATTTCGTAATTTTCGTAGGCAAGATTAGAGCTACAAGATTTACGGCTAATCATGGATGATGCATAAGGTGGAGGAAAGAAGTCCTTATTATGAAGCAAATTACTACTCAGCCAGCTTACCTGTGTTAAAGAACAAGGCTGACAGAATAGAATCTTGTAGTACAAGTATGATACTGTTCTCCCTTGTAATGACTAAAATTCACAAACTAACAGCGAAACAGACTAGCAACCAACCTTTTCCACAACAGAAGCCCTTCAGGCGAAAGCGATTGCGGCAGAATAAAGCAAAGACATAACCCTGTTACCTAATATCCGAAAGAAAAGGAGTAGATACATGTTGAATTCTATCAATCACAATTGCTCATCTGCACCATCGAGACCCATAACCGCCTCTCCATTTGTCATGCGTTGATGAGCTAGTGCAGCTTCTCGGTTAATATTGTAGAGAGCTAAGCGCTGTGCAATCCAGTCATTCTTGGGAGCAGCTTTATTGACGGGAATGGAGTTGAAGTTGTGCATTTGTTGGGGGAATTTAAAGAATTGAATTGATTCTTTGAGGGTGCCGCTTGGAGATGACTTGGTGATGAGAGTGGTATTGATGGTATGGTTTTGTTGATAGGTTTTTGGTTCTTAAAAATGAGTTCTTTTTCGGCGGTGGGTGGAGGAAGTGCATTGGCGGCAATAGAGTTGTGGTCATGATCGTGATTGTAGAGCTCTAGCTCTGCGAGCTCTGGAAATCTGGCAGCATAGTAGGGTTCTGTATAGCCAGCAGCAGCTTCGGCTTCAGCTTTTGCCTTTGCCGCTTCTTTAGCCTCTTTGAATATAGCTTGGTTCGCTAGATTTCTTGCTGTCCATTCCGCGATCTTCTTTTGTTGGAGACGGGCAGTTTCATCTAGAGTGGCATATTTGGTAGGAAGAGCGCGGTTAGATTGGGTTTTGCGTGAATTGATATTGAATGAACGTGTGGTATCTTGAGTTCTGGGTCTGTCGAGATCGGTCGAGGCTTCAGCTTCTCTCATCTTCGCAGCTTCATTTTTGGAAGTCCATTCTGCAATCTTTTGTTGTTATTGAATGGTATATTCATTTGCAGTGGAAACACTGACAGAAGAACGTCGACGAGATGGTTTGGGTGAATCGGAAACATAAGGAAATCCTGATTTAGCAGAAAACTTCATCCCATGCTCAGTGCGGTCTTTATTCTTCTCGCGCTCCTTCTGCTCAGCAATATGTTTTGACATTCGCTCAAAGGGACCCATGTAACTATAATTCCACGTCTGATAATTGTGGGGAATGGGACAAGAAGTTCCGTAGCGTCTACGTCGACTATCTTCCCAGAATTGTTCTTGTTTGGTGTGGCCGCCGGATGTACGTAACACGCATTCGATACACAGTCCCTCCCAGGAATTAAATGCGTTTTTCTTGATGTTGATAATGTGCTTGCCAGATAGGATATTGAAACCGTGATCGGAAGCCTGTGGTGGACTAATGCACTTCCAGGAATTGACTCCTTCGCTCTCAAGGATATCTCTGATAGAACAATTTCTGCGGACGATAGATGGAATGACGAGATAGTCTCTTAATGATTTGTTATATGCGACCGTACAGGCACCGCCTGCCTCGCAGAAACCGTTGTAGAGATGATCGAGTGGGTCGAGTAGATTATTCGTGATTTCGCGCTCGAGGATTCGTGTCTTCAGACGAACGAGTTGCTCTATTTCAATCACTGAAATTAGCCAATACTCTCACGTCTACAAAACGAAAAAAATACTAACTCAAAATCCTATGCTCGAACCGAAATTCCGCACGTCCCGTCAGAGGATTCACCCCATGCATCTCCCCACTCCTCCACTCCAACATGAGAGATTTGGTGATCCACGCAAAGGCTTCGGCGTGTCGGAAGATGTAGGATGGACAGAGCAGGACCTTCATATCGTACAGGGACATTTCGTTTTCGCCGCGGGATGCCCATAAGTTGGAGAACCAGGGTCCGAAATCTTCGGTTTGGAAATATTGGAGGCTGAGGTCGAGGATGTGGTAGAGGGTTTGGATTCTTTCCTTGGTCGAACGTTGCGTGGGTGGGGTGTTGGGGTTGAGATCGAGAACACCGTGGAGGATTCGGAGAACGGTTTTCCATAGCGGAGATGTTGATATCGTAGAGGGTGAGGGAATTGGTGGGGGACGTGCGGAAATCGGAGAAGAGATCGTGGGTAGAGTGGTTTTTGAGAGTGCTGCGAGAGATCAGGAAGGTGGTAGAGGTGAGGGAATTTGCGCCGAAGACTTGCAGATGGAAGTCGCCGGAGGGGTCGATGATGATCTGGGGGGTGTTAGGTTGGGAGTGATATGGAGGGGAGGAGGAGGGTTGAGCGAGAGGGAGATGGACGGATGGGTTGGACTTACTGAAGACATGTTGACGATTTGGTGGGTATATACTTGGTAGGTTCCTGGTGCTTGGCGGAGGATTACAGGTGTAAGACGCGTGGTAAAGGCAGTTTACAGAGTTCTAGGCAAATAAATGGGTTAGTATCAGGTGTTATATCGCGTTGATGGTTGGGGATACGTGTGCGACTTAGTATAAGTTATGGCATCGGCATAAATTGTTTTACACAAGAATATGTGGTTGATCGGAGATGGAAGATAGTGGAAGAAGGTCAAAGATCGAGGAAGACTCATACTAAATACAGTATGACAAATGATACACAGCAGATTTGATACTTCTCATAAATGGCTCTACGATATCTTTATCTGTAGCGAAGCTTGATGCAGAGATAGTGCGAAATGAAGTAGAACATTGTTTGAATTGGATGGCTGATACAGTCTTGATCTATCAACACTAATCATCCAATTCATGATTATCGATGCAGCGGAAGGGATACGAAATCATAGAATTACTACTACCAACAAAGAGATGCAGTCGAGAGAGTCTAGAAAAGTAATAGGGGTAGGTAGCCGAAAGTGTCTGGTCCGTGCATTAACCCCTCGACCTTGTCTGGGCGTGAAGTGCAAGATGATCAAGTGGGATTATACAAATAATAGTATAGATTCTTTCGGTTTTAGATGAATCCAGAGTTAAGCTAATTGCAATAATGAAAGAGTTGTCCTCATCAGTGAGATCCTCACGTATATTTATCCTTTGAATGAGCAAAGCAAATCTAGGACACTCAAAGTATACCACACTACTAGCCATTCGTCGGATCATTCCATCCGTCTACTACTTACACTTCTTAATAGCACATCGTCATCCAAATAAAATATCATATTATCAGTCTCAATAGCCGTGATACATCCGAAATCTCCTCCACAACAGCATATTCTATCAACCCGGAACCTCTTAATTCAAACTCCTAGAACAGATCTAATGTGTAAATTATCACGTGACTGTATAACAATTCTACGGAAATCTCACCATGTTTGAGAGATCTTCTTGGAGTTCCTGAAACATCAATTCAATTCCAATTGACAAAGAAGTTCTGAAGCGCCAACTTTAGCGATGGCGATGAATTGTCGTTCGCTCCGTCTCGCATCCCATCAGCGTCATTTCTCTCTTGAACGACTGTTGCAAGAGCCCCATAATACCCAATATTCCATTTCCTCAAGAAACCCCTTCTCTCTATCATCAACCTTCGCAAAACTCGTAATTATCATCGTATCGCATCCAGCAATTGCATAGACCACAAGTTGCCTTCCTGCCTAGATTGCCAAGTCCACACGTGACACTTCCTCACGTGTGACATCGCACGTGCCTCAATTCTGCCTGCAAAAGCGGAGCTGCAGCCTGCGCATTCCGTGCTCATTTGGTTAAACTTGACGAAATGAGATCTCGAACGTGTAGCTTAGCGATGGGATGGGGATAGATTTGAAGATATATAGATGGTGATTTCGATCTGGTTTTGTGATGAGTTGTTAAGAATTGTATGAACAGTTTTGGTGTTTTACTTGGAATTGATTTGTTATTTTTTGGACAAAGTCGAGAGAATAAACTATTGTGTTATATTGCTGTTATATAGGTACCCATATACAGAGAATTTACCTCGAGAGATAGGAGTTGTGATAAATCATCTGAAAGAAGACACAGAAGACAAAATCAAAAGAACTCGATCATTCAACCACAATGTCTACCTTCTCCCTCTTAAACTCTTTCCCCGCCGAAATCCACAGTTTAATCCTCGAACAATGTCCTCCAAATGACCGTACCTGTCTCCGACTCACGTGGTATGTATCATCTACCCTCCCCCCCCCCCCCCCCTTTCCCATCACATCCCATCACCCCGCATCTACAAAATTAAACACTAACACTCCACAAGTAAATACCTCTACACCCTCTCACCCCCCAGATACCCCGTTTCCCTCTACTATTCCCCTATCCCCGAGGTTTTCTGCTCAAAATCTGAAGTATCCCATATTTCCCCTGGTGTTCACAATCAGCGCTTTCCTATTCGAAAATGTGGACTAGGAGCACAATTATGGTGAGTTTTCTTTTCATTCGATATAGCGCTATCAATTCTATTCCAATTCCAATTCCCATCCCATTTGTTCCCCTCTAGTAAACGAGAAGACTTGAGGCCAAACGATTAAAAATACTAACGAAAAAACAGTCATGATCGTTCCCTCAACTACATAAACCTCCTCCGCGCCTCCGAAAATCTTCCCCCTCTCACGCGAAAAAAATGTCGTGATTATTATTGTGGCGATCACTGTGAATGTTTTTCTCGGTCAAGAACATTACACCAACAGTTGCAAAAATGGATGCCGAAGGATATGAAATATTGTAGTGAATGTAGTGTTTTCACTAAGAGGAGGAAGAGCAAAAAGGGTCGATGTGAGTTCTCTTCTACGAAGTTGGGGTGCAGAGGATTGGAACATTAATAGAAGATAGGTACACATGGCCACAAGAAAAGAAATAGTCGTAATTCCCATATTACATCGAATCTTTGGACGAATCATAAGGGACATGGTGGTTATTATCATAAGTTGTGGAAGAAATGGTTTAAGTAAGTTTTATCTTCCTCCTCATCCTTCCCATTCCTGTCCTCACCTTCGCTTCCTAATACCCCTTCTCCCCCTAACACCCCCCAGCAACTCCGCCTTCGACAATATGGAAGCTCGTCTTCGTCTCGGCAAGCGAAACTCTAACTCGCGCTATAATCTACGGAAAGAATATATACCCCGTGCTAGATATTTAGATACGACTTGGTCGAGACACGAGCGAGGAAGTTGGGTTTGAGTCTGGTGTTGGGCTGAAGCTGAAAGGAGTATCGGTGTTGATCTTTGATTTGGTGTTAATTTCTATTTTGGGGGTCTGTATTTCATGAAGCGACAAGGGAATTCTGATCTTGATGAGAAAAAAGGGAAACAAGCGGGCGAGGGCGAGTATGAGCATAAAGAGTCAGAAAGAAGGAAAGGAAGAGAACAAGCCAGGACATCAACAAAATAATAGTGTGATCTCCCCCAGACTTCCATACACAAATCTGTACTTTCAAAACACCAAATAAAGTATGTTTTACCTAGTTCCAATATCACAAACCAACCCTCTCATTCTTCAACTGTATATTCCATTCCCTCGAATGCAAATGTAAAAAGCTCTTCATTTTCACCCATTTCCATCTCTCCATCTCTCCATCTCTCCATCTCTCCATCTCTCCATCTCTCCATCTCTCCATCTCTCCATCTCTACACCTTTCGCCAAACCTACACCACCACCACCGCAACTGGACAGCAGATCATATATCATCAACTCTCCAATCGTAAACAGCCCAATACAATATCAACCATCTCTAAAGATATAAATATCCCAAGCTCTAAATACAAAACAGAACAGATAGGACTTTCTCATACCAAATCGAAGAATATCTTACCAAGGGAAGGGAATTAGGTGTTTATTCATTTATTTGTTCATCTTGTCTAGTTTTTCGTTTATAATTGGTTATGGATATATAAATTGATGTATTGTATAATTAGTAGAGCTTCAGCTATCTAGCTATAGATAGACTGAATCGATCATGAATTTGATAAAGGTATATTTTTAATCTACCTAGTACTCACCATCAACTCATCAACCCATCAATTATCCAACCATGCAATCATCAAATCACAAACTCAGCAACTCAGCAAACCTCTCAAAACCCGCAGAATCCCCATATAAAACCAAATACCATGCTACATTATATTACTCATAAAGTATACCCCACAATCAGATAGACATACGCACATACATATATACACATTTATTAAAATCACAAATACATACATATCTCTATTTGATTCGCAACTATAGCAAGGAGCAGAAAAATAACACAATATACGGAGTACATCACCTCACATCACATTACAGCACACCTCCAACAAATCTTACCCCAAAGTCGAATACTCGGCGAAATAATTGAAGATGCATAGTACAAGTTAAAAAACACTTATAACTTCAACAATTTTCAATAAAGCGAGCTAAAATTAATATAGATAATCTATACATATAGATATTCACATATATATATTCATATAGTCAAGTTACATATTTATACATATTGATATTCACCTAGTAAAATTACATATACAGTTACTATATAATTACAACTACTGACTACTTATCAAAATCATACTAAAATTCATCGAAACTTATAGGATATACTTTTACTTTTTAAATCATAATGTCGATGGTATATATAAACAATTAAATGATTAGATTAAGAATCAAATGAAACTTATTAAAAGTTATATAATTTATTTTTCATAATTTTCTATACTGAAGAATGATAAGTTAAAATTGAAAAAAACAAAATCTTTTCAAATGCTAAAATTTGTTAGTAAAATAATTAAAAAATCATAATAATATAATCAACTTCTATTATAGGCGAAAAATGAGTAGATGTCACATGACTCCTACTATAGCTAGTATTTATAGTACAGTTTAGAATTGACAATCAATTCTAATCTATTAAACTCTATCCTCTACGTGTACGTGAGTGCTTTCTAGAGCCTCTCTTCCCTCTCCTCCTTCGAAGGCGCTATAATATAGTAACATTTCTACGATATTACGAAGACTTACTCTATAACCCTATTACCTTTAACTCTTTTATACTATCTGATTATAATATTACATTATATATTAGAATAAGGATTTCAATAAGTTTCTTAAATTAATATAACAATTATATATACTAACATCTATATCTAGACTAATCTATAATGAGAAGGATTAATTTCCATTAAACGTAGTTATGATAGAAGACGATCTACATGACAATAACAACATTACAGGCTCTCCTAAGCATCCTATAGACCGGATATAAATCGTTAGTATTAATAGGATAATAGATTATATAATCTTAAAAGGAGCTCGATTCGTAATCCTTATATATTAAATGAATGAATCTTATAATTAAGATTATTAGGAGAACTAATTAACTCAAATTATTATTTATAGTAAAACTTTTGTTGAGTTCACTTGAAGGGGGGGGGAGATCGTCGACTCGAATTACCGTATACACACTATATAGCCTATATAAAATGAATAATATGAATTAAGATAATTTAGAATAAAGTATAATTCTTTTTATTATTGAATTTGAAAGAACTAAGAGTGAGAAGGGTCTATTCATTATACGAGAATGAATAGAAGTGGGTTATTCTTCTACTCCTTTATAAAACTTGAATTATAAAAGATTAAATTATCTTCTTAATGAGAGAATAGTAGCTTAAAGCTTATAAGGCTTTAATTTCAATATATTCTCCTAAAAATATGAATAAAGGTTGAATTCGTATAGAATTTTTAAAGCTATTTTATTAAATAGCTATTTATATTATAATAGACTCTTTAACTTTATAATCTTTTTCCTTTATTCTTTTGAATTAAATGGATTAGATCTATTAAAGATAGTAGATAGGGCTTTTTTGACTTAATAATTATATAAAGGGGGCGTTTTATATTATAAAGTGAAGAAAAAGGATTTAATAAAAGGTTCCTAATAGAAGGGGGGGGTAGTAAAGTGGTTTTTTTGTACGAAGAGGAGGGGAACTTTGAATTCGAAAAAGTATATTAAGCTCTAAACAAAATGTAATAGATGTAAATTGAACTTGTTGGGACAGTGATCATGTGACTACGCTAGCGTTGACGCTAGCGTCTTCCGACACTACAGTAATACGTTTCGTAGCCCTAGCGTTTAGAACCTCGAGCAATATAACAACAGTATGAACCATAGTACTATATTGGCTTCACCATCCCCATGGTGATACCAACAGAACTATTAATTTATTGAATTTTATAAATGTAGTAGTCTAATTTATAAATCAATTAATCCATTCAATTCTAAAGAAATCAATTGTAATCAAAAATTTCTTTTTAATATATTAATCGAAAAAGATAATATAAAGAATATAGTATTTTAATCCTTTATATAGATTATATATAAATATAATCTAGTATAATCTTATTTGTTTTTTCGAAGAATATCTCATTAAATAGCCTAAACTGTTGAAAGTATGGTTCACGTGAGTGCTAGAGTAGGGGGAGCTAGCCCTAATTAGTACTAGTAAAAAGCTCTAACTTATATCAGAGCTTTTTCTTTTATAGATAACTTTAATACTCTTAATATAATTGCCCTACAAATACCCTTTTATTTTACCCTATACTTTTTATTGTACCATGTAAAGAATTATATTTGAAATAGGTTATAAACCCAGGTTTGTATTTAGGTTAGAATTAAAGGAGGAAGTGTATAAGGCGTAAAGAAAAGACAAAGGCTAACACTTGAAAAAGCAAGAGCTATCAAAATTATTGAAAAACAAAAGCCTAATTATAAAAAAGTTGAAGTAAAGGTTACTTATTATTGAAATCCAAAAAAACCTTAAAAACATAATGAATTGAATTATTTAGTGATATATATATATATATATATTTATTATCTATTCGATAGGTATATTTACTTTCTTAAAGTCATTTATATTTATATTTAATGAAAACTTAAATTATATTAAGAAAAAGAAAATACGATTTAAAAGGGAAACCTATAGGTTAATTGAGATTACATATCAAAACAAATTCAATAACAATATTATCAATTGTATTAGAAAATCGACCGTTATGGTAAATAAGAATGACAATAGATTATCAAAGATCTTGATTTTGATTAAAAGAATTGGTGACAATGGTTTAAGATAACACAGCTTTATATTATATAAAAAGATTAGAATTATATTATTACTAATAATATAACTATATATAGAATACTCTATATTAATGTAGGAATAACTAAATTCAATAAGGTAATATATAAAATAAAAAAAGCCTAAGTTGATATAAAACTTTTTGTTATTCAATATATTAATAATATAGATAATAAACTTATTGAAGAGATTATTAAATTTAATGTAAAATGAGCTAAGTTAGAAGAGAAGTATAAGTATATTATCTTTTAAGAATTATAAAACAAGTTTATTTGATTTATTATATAAAAGCTTAAGGATAATATTACAATTAAAAAAGACTGATTTGAGATTTATTTTATTCGAAAAGAGATTATTAAAGTAGAAACAAAACAAAAAGATATATTAATTGAGGATATTATCTTCAAATTCTTTATTCAAAACCTTTTAGAACAATTCAACATTATTATTAAAGCAATTATGTTACGGGAGCTGCCTCTAGGATTATGTGAAAGTGTTTAAAGTTCTTTCGAGGTGGTTTAAACTAAACTTCAAATAGGAATTCAATAAGATTATAATTAGTTACAATTCTCATAACTATAATAATGAAACTAATAATTATTCTTAAGTACGAAGCTTTATATTATAATGAAACCCATTCCCTTATATAGATCTTTATTCTTTATTATCCTATTGATTCTATTATGTCCTACCAGATAGGAGCAGTGGGATCCAGTGGGAGTCCCTAATCCCGTGACTTCCTGATCATGTGATGCGGTATGTTGGATGCCGTCGTAACAAATTAATGCTCAGAACCTCGATTTTACAATTAAGTTTAAGAAGATTTGTATTGTAGATAAAATAATTGTTTTAAAAAAGGCTATTATATTGAATAGTAATAAGAATACAATAATAGCTATAATAATATAAAGCTAGAAATACCAAGATTGTAGGGGATTTAATGAAGACTATTGTCAAAGTTTTAATTAAAAACCACATAGCTCCAACAAGTCTAAAAAGTATTTCTTTTATAACAAATCTGATTATATAACACACAATTACTTATACAAAGAGAATATCAAAACT